GCGTATTAAGGGTTGAAAGAGCAAAAACAAATTTTAACGTCTTTGTTTGAACCGGTCGGGGTTCGAACCAACGACTTTCCGCTCTCGAGGCGAACACGCTCCCATGAGACCAAACAGAAGGTCATTAGTATAGAATATCATACCAAAAACTCAAGTACAATAAACAATACAGTTTCACAGAATTCTCAGTTACTAAAGCGAGCTAAAAGTATCCAACCTAAATTAGATACGTTAAATGATATTTGAAACTACACGTAAATATCGATGGCCGACTTCGGAGTAGATTCCATGGATCAACGCTCTCTGCAAATTAAAAACTCTTGCACCAATTATTTGAAAGGTCCGGATGTGGCCAGCTGTTCCAATGCTAAATTTCTGTCCTTATCAATTATACCCTCATTTTCAAGTGGTATTCAAAGTTTTACGTCAAACCTCACTGTCCACCTCCTATTGCAAGACCTATCTATTGTATTTAAAATTTAAGTGTTCTCGTCATTAATATGCATGAAATATTTGCCACAGGACGTTAATCAAACAACAATCAAATAACTTCATAAATTGTTCCATGTACATAGTACACCAAGATAAGATCTTGTACAATGCCATAATGTAACATTTTCATTTAAATTACTCAATATTATAGTGCAAAATGCTTTATGCTTTTTTTTTAATATTTCATTGCCATTTACTTCATGACTGAACACTAATATTTTTGTTTTTAATATTTTTTTTTACTATGGTTCTTATCTTCTGCTTCTGTTTTATTACGATTTATAATATACAATTATGTCAGGCAATTATAAAACTAAGAAGGTTAACGTGTTTTTTTGGTTTTTTTTTTTCAAGGGGTTTATGCTTCATTTAGACGTGTAGAGGGAATGGCGGACGACTAAAATAAAAGTTTGTTTTCATATAGTACATTTCAATTTAAGAATGACTATCAACCTTGCGAAAATATTTCATCTATACACGTTTTGATCGAGCCACTCAAACCTACATAACTTGATTCTAAAGATGTTACATTTAGGCTATTTAGATATGATTTTATTGATTGAAGTTTACAGGCATAGTTTTTTTAATTTAAAACAATCTTAACAAAACAAGATTTATTAATAAAATTGGACTGAACAGACAACACTAATTATTTTGCATTTGTATGTTACGTAGTGAAGGAAAATTACAGAATCAAAACCAAAATGAACATTTACCTGAATATTGTGAAGGACCTTATGCATCTAGGTCTGTTCGATTAGAAGTTGAGAAACAAGCTGTTTAAATAACTAATTGTTTGAAGAGTTTACTTACTGTTTTCATAAGGTCTTGTCTTGACGAATCTATTTCATGATTGCTGACAGATTAAAAACATCAAATATATATAGGAAGAAGTTCTTGTGCAGAACATTTATTGGTCAGTTGTAAATGAGGTCTGTATAGGGTTTTGATTTACTCATTTATAAAATAAAAATCGTTATTTCGAAAAGTTGGAATTCAAAAATATAGATTTACTACTTAATTTGATAAAAAACAATCCTATGTTGTTATTTTAAGGCTACAAAATTTATAATAATTAAATAATTAAATGATGCACTGGCATTTAATCAGTCCGTTTTCAATGCAATTAGGTTACTGTTATTTGTATACATCAGTCTGAGTACTGTTTAACTATCTTTTAAGTTGAATAAATTTAGACTCGTCCAATTAGGTTTCTGGAAGTGTTTTTGGCGTACTTTTCTTATGTTTTTGTACGGTTTGTAAGTTAGTAAATGTTCAATGATTAAGTTAATATTGACATTAAAAGACCTTCTCACAAAAAGGGCTGTTCAAATCACCTCGTCCTTCGGGCTCGGGGATCTCAACATCGCTTTTTGTTCGAAGGTCTTTTAATATCAATATCAACTTATCATTGAACTTTTACTATTACTAACATTTTCACGTTTCTCTGAAATTTTATATTATTGTATACAGGTAAATGTTTCTTTTTCGAGAAACGTGAATAATATGTATTTACATTGCATTCAGTATAAATTAATGTTTTCATATACACAACATAACAAATTTTAATTTGTAGGATTGACTTTCAAATGTATTTGATTGATGAACTTTTTTAGTAAAATGATAGTATTGTTTGAGTAAACAATAAACAGCTACATTTGTAAGTGAGGCAATATTCTGACAAAATATATTTCTATCTAGATCCAAAGATTTACAAGTCATAATATCACAATAAACGTCATCGATTGCAAAATGACAAATTCTGTCGTTTCGAGACATGCCTCGCTATCTTCCCGTCTCAACTGGTAATCTGTGACTACCACATTTAAATTTGCAGTTTACACATATAATCAAATTATTTGGTAAGACGTTGATATAATTCTCAAATTGCAAGTTAATCTTAAATATTCTGTAACATAGGCAATTATGTGTGCTTTCTATTTGTGATAAGCACAATAACAAATGACCTGAAGTAAGAAAAAAAGTCAAAATTTGAAACAAAATGTTGTATTATCATAGAGCACGAATATACTGACGTCAACAGTGATTTATAACGAAGGGTTAAGACAGACTAGGGGCGGTGTAGGTAAGGAGGAGCGTTTGGCGCCAGGGAACATGTGTAACCCCGCAACATTCTGTAAGTGCATGTCCCAAGTCAGCATCCTGTAAATTTGTGGTTGTCGTTTGTTGCTGTATATCTTTTTTTTTTTCGTTTGTTGTTCTGTACATAAATCAGGCTGTTAGTTTTCTCGTTTGAATTGTTGTACGTTTGTCTTTTTGGGGGTCTTTTATAACTTACTATGTGGTAAGGGTTTTGTTCATTGTTGAAAGTTGCACGATGACCTACATTGTTAACTAACTTCTACGTCATTCGTTCTCTTGTGGAGAGTTGTCTTATTGGCAATCATACCACATCTTCTTATGTTTATATATACATACTATCATTAATAAAAACTAATTCAGAAAATGCATTTTAAAATCTTTAAATTTACAAACATAAGTTATATACAGGAAAAAATATATATGTACACGACTAATTCTATTACTGATTATAAACTGACTGTAATAGTATTATCAAGCTATGTATATACGTCATTTATTTAACGTCAAGTATTGTTATACATGAATACCATGAAGCAGAAATATAAATCAGTCATAAGGTAAACGAAACTGATATACACATTATTAACAAAAAGAATATCTAAATACACATACGCGTAACAAATAAATACAAGAATTCTGACAGTATAAACGACACATTTTATCGTCTATTTACCAAAGTTAAAACATACGATTGGTCAACGTCTGTCGAATTTCCAAGTGGCGGAGGTATTAATCTTAAGCTTTATTTAAAGTCTGTAATTATACAAACAGGCCAGGGTGCTTTTTTTTTAGTAACCTTGGACGGTAGATTCTCCTGATAGAAATCGGTCTTGTAATGTTTACAGTCTGTTGTTAATGTTTTCGTATTTCTTCAACAGAGTTGTTTGGTATCTCCAGCTGCTATGTCTGGTTGGCTTTAATGTTGGCCGGGTTTATATTAAGTTTCTGGCACAAAAAGGGTCCTACCAGGACGCAGATGTGTTGGTGTGCATGGTTGACGTGCTTCTTGGGTCTACTGTATCATGGATCTGTATATAGATGTTGTGTGTGTTGTCCTTCGTTATCTTTGTTAGCGGTCGCAAGTCCTAGTGTCGGTGTCTTTCTCCAGATGCATTCAGTATAGTGGAGGAATTTTAAAAGCGGCTTCTCAACGTGACGTCGTCAATTGCTTGTTGTTAAATTACGGTAGCTGTCTAAAGGTTAGTGGAAGATCTACGGTGTTATTTGAACTGTTTGTTGCTGACTAGCAGCTGCTCAGTTGATAAGGTTTTGTTTGAGCATGATTCATATTATGATAATTATGATATTGACACAATTACGTTATAATTTAGCAAATAATTTGATTAAATATAGTAATAATTATAGTGTTATGATAAAATAATAATAACTCATAATCAATTTAAAAACATCGATTTCTCCGAAGAAATTTTAAAACTTGTAATTAAATTCTTGCCTCATACATCATGTACATGTACCTTGACTTATATCTAGAAATTGATAACCAAGGTCGATTGAGAACATAAATTTACGTCAAAAAGATGATTTCAGCTTGCCAATCGTGAACCTTCCATTTTTATGTAGCAACATTTCAGCATCGCCAGCATATGAGTATATATCTCACAGTTTATACGATATCCAGACCCATGCCATCCTATCATGATTTCCTATATCGTGGGTTGCTGCCTACAAGGATGATATCGAAATAAGAGGTCCAAAGGGTGAAGATGAAGTCATCTCTTTGAAAATTTTATTGACAAGTTGGTTGACAGTTATGAAATATCTGTTTCACAAATGACGACGAATATGCTCGTAACCACAATTCCATCCTCTTTTCCTCGAATATGTCCAGCCGAAATAGACTTATCACTGGTTTGTTCCTACAAGGGCAACACGAAAGGAGCAGGATCTGCTTAACAGATGCCATGGCTAAAATCGAAAAACGACAATTTGAAAAAAAAAAAACAACGGTCTACAAAACACGATATAGGAAACAAACGAATGAACAACATGAACCCCTTCAAAAAATCAATGGTGATCTTAGGTGAATAGGAAGAGTAAGCAGATCCTGCTGCACATGTGTAGCCCGTTGTGTTCTGATGTAAATTCAAACACGGTAATAAGTCTTATTTGGAAGTTCACATTCGAGGAAAAGAGGACGGTATTCCGGTAATGACATTTGGACATATTCGTCGTCATCTGTGAAAAAGATATTCCATTACAGTCAACCAAGTCGTGATGGCAACCATTATATTCTCCAAGGAACTGAGGTTTACAGTGCATTTTATCTTTGTTTTGATTTTTAAGAGTTTTGTTGATTTATGAAAATGATTTGTTAAATTCAAAGAAATTATTTTGATTTAAAGATTATTAAGATTTCAAACTATACATTTAGCTGCCTTACTTACGTTTACACTTTCCATTGCTGTTAATGGCATTATTACAGCAATAATATTGTATCACATATTGTGTTCCTCCAATGCTCTCAAAACTGAAAGAAACAAAATATGACAATAAATTGATTTTCTTTATTGTGTGATTGTCCCGAGGAAATTGCGTTTTCTTTTTTTTATTGTTTTAGTTTATAGATAGTCCATCAGACAGAACCACAAAGTCTTGTTTTTCCTTGATATCCTAGTAAATCACTTTACTTCAGTAGAGGTAAACATACACAATTGACAACATGTTGCTGCATGTATTTAATTTTTTTTTCTGATACTCATGAAAGATAGTTGTCTAACGCAAACAACATCTCTATTTGAAAAAAAAAATGAAAACCGTTCGATACAAAAGCGAAACTTGATTTGCACAAAATATAAATTTCATCGAATGACTTGTTAAAAGCGTTCACATAGTGATGTTTAATACAGCTTTAAATAAAATCATAATACGTAATCATAATCGTAAAAGAATTAAATGGACACATTATTTCTTAAGTTCGTTAATATTTAAACTGGTACAAATTCCCTTTCAATATTTACATATGAATGACTTTTATTTAATTTATTTTATAATTACAATTAAGTTGATGTACTTATGTTCGTTATTTTGTCTCATAAAAAAGATGGATTAACACAATTGAATTGAGCATATTAGAAACAATAATGTTACCTAGATTATCTAGAGAAGTTATAATCAGAATTGTTGAAAGAATATACTCTATTATTCTAGAATCAGTCGAAAAAGTTGAGGTTACATTTTGGACATATAATATGGGCTCATTGGGCTCAACAAATAAAGCGATAAAAAGGTAAACAAGCCATGGTTGGATAAAAAATGCTGGGAAACGTTAATAGTTTTCAGTATTGCAAACAGAAGATATAAATATAATAAACAAGTTAACGCACATGACAAATCAGAGCGAGACTATATGAGACAACTTGATTGATCTATAAATTTGGGAACACAGACAAGAAATTTAGTTAATAGATTAACACATTGAAAACGGCAACTGGAAAGAAATTTAGAAGATTTAGGCTACTTCGATTCGTCTAACTCGGGTTGACTCGAGTTAAAAGATCAGTGCTAATGCGCATGTGTGCAACCTTTCCAAATCGACGGTCAAAACTCTTCCATCGAGGTGACTATCAAAATGGAAGATATTTGTTTCATAAGGGAAGTGAAAAAAAATTGTTTCTATTGAACATAAGAATAAAATACATTATGTTTCAGAAAGAAAAAGTCCTCATCCTGTATGCTATTGGAAAAAATAGTTTGTTTCTGAAAAAATTTGTGAAATAAAAATCGTTCTGAGAAAAAAAAAACATGCCCCCCCTTCCAAAAAAAGATGAATGGTTAGTTCCCTTAAAGCTTTCTGATAAACGGACTAGGTGTATTAATGGGTTACCGAGCGACGGACGACAGACAGTCAGATGGAGAAAATTACTATACCCCCTTCAGTGTGATGCGCTGATGTATCAAACACTCCCGTGTTCATGTACGCCCAGAAATCCTACATAACATGCATAATTGACATTGATATGGTAAAGTGAATGTATTTTTGTAATAAAAAACGTGCAACTCTGAGCATGTCGAAATTAATTTCTGTTCTATTTATAAACATCACCGACAGTTCATATACACATGAACAATATTTGTTGATGCCAAAATACAGAAAAAAATAAATTCCCCTTGTCAGCCCCTTTCTTCGGCTGTATTTTGTCAAATGTCAGTTATTTTGTATCATACTTTTCTTTGCTGGAGCTGCTTGACGCCATTTTGAAACTCTACTAAACCTGCCCAAACCCAGGGTTAATGTCGAGTTAACTCGGGTTGGTTCAAAAGGTCAAACTCGGGGGGTTCGATTGTCAGTCGAGTAAACTCGACAGACTCTACTAACCCGAGTTGGACGAATCGAAGTAGGCCTTAAATACAACAAAGTAGGCTTTATCAGAAAATAATTTAATTTTGGATGTAACTCGTCTTCTGATTTACTGAAAATGTTTTTTTTTTAATTTTTTTTTTAACACAATTAAATAATCTTTATTGTACTATATGCTGTTTAACAATTTACTTAGCTTACAGCATTGGGCTAAGTTTCGCTGTGTATCAGATTATTAGAAATCCAGGGAGAATATCTAATAATAAAAATATAAATGTTAGTATTATATAAAATTGAGAATGGAAATGGGGAATGTGTCAAAGAGACAACAACCCGACCATAGAACAGACAACAGCAGAAGGTCACCAACAGGTCTTCAATGCAGCGAGAAATTCCCGCACCCGGAGGCGTCCTTCAGCTGGCCCCTAAACAAATATATATACTAGTTCAGTATCATTACTCTTGAACATAATACATAATATATATAAACATAAAATTAATATAAATTGATTCACGGTCGCGAAACACGTGACTTCATCGTGATCAGTTTCGCGGCAAACGGCGCCCGTCAAATTATTATTGTTCGCCTCGAGGCAAACTTTAAACGTAAGTATTTACATATCATCGTGTTCATACATAGGACCCCCCTCATCATATGCATCTTTTCCTTCCGAATATTGTTATGCCCATAAAGTTATATTCAACTGTTGGTTTCATAGAGAACATTCACAAAATATTTCAGACCTGCTGAAGAATGTTTGGGATTGTGTACATAATATGACCGTAAAGTCACTTTAAATCCAGAAACTTACCCATATTTTGCCTATTCGTTCATAAAAACTAGCGTCAGTGTATATTTTGGACATTATTGCGAGCTGAACGCAATAATATTTTTTTTGTCAATAAATGATCAGTGTTCACGGTAAGAGTTTAAGTGATCAGTTCCACGATTTTTAAATTCTGATTCATTATGATAAGATCACCAATTAAAAGCCCCTATCTGTTCAACAAAAGTTTATAATTTTTACAGCTTCCTAAATATTTTACTTTAAAGGGGCACTAGCTACGAGACATATACAAAAATCTTAAGTCTGATTTATTTTGTTCAATCATTAATGAAAGTTAAATGGTGAAATACCAATTCATTTTTGCAGCCAGTATTGTTCAAATGAAGCTAAGAAATGTTGATGATGAATTATTCACTTGCAAGTGAATTTTTCGACCTCATTGAATCCGTATTCATGTGAACTTTAATTTAACCCCTTAGCTATATAAGGATAACGCATGCATTGTGCGTGTTTGGTTATTTAAAGGAAAAGAATGTCAACATTGAAAGTGAAACAAAGGTAAATCATTTGATTAACTGATTCAATCCACAAACAATCATTCTTATACAGGTAAAAACGATGATTAACGTTTGATTCATACGAATTTATGTCTACTTACAAATCGGAAAAAATAACGGATCTACACCGTAACGTTTTATGGTTATTATGTGTGTTTACTTTTCTCACAGGATACCTGTGTAACTGGAATTTAATTATTCTTTTCTGGTAATTTGTTTCAAACTTGATTGTTTGACCATGCTAGTGGAAATAAATATAAAGGTAAGTGTGTATAATTATGTTAATTGCGAATCAATAGGTTATGTTTTCAGCAATGCATTTTTGGCACCTCGTGGTCTTTTATTTATACAAGGAAGGAAAGTAGCATGTGTTGGTTTGTCAAACAAACACTACAAATATCACTTACAAGTTACAATATGTTGATGTTTTTAATAACAATTTTTTCGGTTTCAATATTTCTGGTCACATTTAATTTTATGATTTCGTTTTTTCCGTTTTGAAAATTTTGAATATATCTTTGTTTTTCATTTTTGTTTAAAATAAAATATGCCTAATATATAGAGAAGATATAACTGTTATAAGGTTGTTTATATCAAAATATTTTATATCTGATATTTTTTAGCCAGTTACTAAAATTTTCAAGTCTTAGAATGTGTCTGTCTATTTGAAGATAAAGTATGAGTTTGTATATTTCTTGCCAGTATTTAGTATTATAAGGACATGTTATGATTTTTTTTTTATAATTTTCAATTTCTTTGCAGAATTTGCATTAACTGGTTTCTAATACTTTCCACTTAACTAATAATTCTTTACATGGAAGGATAAAATGGAGCAATTTACATTTAAACATTTTAAATTTTTTGCTATCTAGGTATTTAAATTTAAATATATATAAAACTAAGAGTGTTTTTAAATTTTATGTTCAAGTTTTCTTTAAAAATTCTTTCCTATTTTTTGTATTCTTTATATGTATTTTCGAAAATTTCATGAACGCCATCACGAGTTGGTTGACCGTTACGGAATATCTGTTTCACAGATGACGACGGATATGTTTCAATCGTCTTACCACATTAATCCCGCCCTCCTTTCCCCCTAATGGTTGACCTACCGAATTAGACTTATCTCCAGGTTTGTACATATGGCAAAATTAGGGGTACACTGCGAATTTGCATAGCGGTCATGTGCCTATCATGAGGACAGCCATTTCAATAGAATAATATATGCCATAAAATAAAAATGCAAATATGTCAATTCCGAAGTCGCATCAACAATTTGTCCGCATGTAGGTGAATTGTACATGTTTTTTGTCTTCTGTTCGCGTACAAATGAACATTGTCTACTTTGAAAACTTTCGGCCTTTTCAGTTTAAAAATCAGAACCGTAACAGTAGTATAATTGCTATATAAATTAACGGAAAATCGTAAAAAAGCAAGATTCAAAATAGAAATCAAGATACAAGAAGAGATTGGTCATGATTTTTCAGCATATAGGGAAACATCATACAGGTTGAATTTTCAGGTAAAGTAAAACATGATGATTTCATCCTTCCCAGCACGTAAATAGTCAAATTTTGAGCATTTTTCCTTAGAATTAAACAACATAGTTTGTAAATATCCGCCAAAGAAAGTTTTTAAAGACACGTTAGTTTCAGATGAAAAACGACAACAGACTGGATTACAATTAGGAAATGTGATATAAATCATATTTTCAATCTACAACTAAGGGAAGTAATTTAATCAAAAGGTCCGTCACGGGGTGCAAATCATATTAATAAAATACCTAGAATTTTGCCATACGAATAACATGAGCAACATGACGGGTGCT